TGCGCAGGTCACGCTGCTGCCGCCGCTGCTGCCGCTCGCACAGCACCTCGGCGCGGGCCCTCTCCACCCTCTGCCGGTCCCAGTCCGCGTCTCGCTGGCGCTCTTCCTCCTGGAGCCTCTGGAGAGAGGTGACTCTCACCACCTGTCCCCACAGAGGAGCCCGGGGAACGGGCTGGGAGAACCGGCCTCTCATTTTACAGATGGGGAAACTGAGGCTCTGGTGGGCAGGCAGAGGAGACCCCCCCAGACAAACCCAGGTGCCCCGGCCCCGTCCCACACTTGGGGGCACTGGGCACACGAGTGGGCAGGCTGCTGCTTCTGGCTGAACACTGGGACCAACTGGTCGCTTCTAGAACCTTCTGATGCTACAATGAGTTCATGATCTCAGGTAAATTTCTGCATCTTAGCTCATTTTTTTTTAATCCTCACCCGAGGTCATTTTCCCATGGCTTTTTAGAGAAAGCAGGAGAGAGAGAGAAAGATCAATGTGAGACACACACGATTGGTTGCCTCCTCAACGAGCCATGACCAGGGCCCAGCCCCGGGGAGGAGCCTGCAACCGAGGTACGTGCCCTTGACAGGAATCGAACCTGGGACCCTTCCGTCCACAGGCCGATGCCCTACCCACTGAGCCACACCGGCCGGGGCTCTCTGCTCATTCCACATTGCCTTCCAGACCTTCTCTAAAACCCACTGGCTCTTAGGAGAGGAAACAGCGTTAATGCAGCTGGTGGCGGGGGGCAGTCAACCCCTACGCGTGGGCAGTGTCACCCGCCAATCTGAGTTACTTCCAAGCCCTCCTTCCCTCCTGGGCTCAGGGCAGGGCCTCCTCCCACCAGAGGAGCAGGGGAGGTGGGCAGCCACCAGGGCCCAGCCCTCACCCAGGGATGGAAAGGCAGGCTGGGCCTGGCCTGGCCACCTGCAGGGCAAGTGACGTTGGCTGCCACGTGAACCTGTTTTCCCACCTGCACCCTGAGCCCTGGCTCAGATGCTTTCCTCACCCAGCTCCCTGCAGAGGGGCTGCGGGCTGTGGGCAGGGGTGTTCTGAGTGGTGAGACTTAATGTTTGTTTTTTCCCCTTTTTGATTGCTGTTTGCTGATTTTCACGAAAATTGGAAATCAGTGCAAATTGCTGCTTTCAGGACAGTGGCCGGACCTTCCACCAGGCGGCTGGGCTGCGGGAGTGGTGCTGGCTGCTCACCTGCCTGGCTCGCTCGCGCTCCCCCCACTCAGGTCTCCGTTCCAATGTCACTCCTCAGGCCCGGTGACCCGCTCGGCCCAGCCTCACTTTCCTCCCCAGCACCCACCACCTGAGCACCTGGCCCTTGTCACCACCCCTGATGCAACGTAAACCCCTT